ATCTTTTTATTTTGTGGCTGTCACACAACATAACAATTACAAACGAAATGGAGGTGACAAAAAGGAAAACTCAGCTTGCTGATTTTTATGGAGTGTTTATACTTCCAGAAAGGCAGTCATTGCTGAGTTATTTGATTTGAAAAATTAATCCTGATAATGCCTTTTGAGTTCCTTAAGTACTGTTCACTATTTTCTAGGATGAGTTGTACAGAACAAAGCCTAACAGATTTCTACAGCAGATTAGTTTACAGATGAAGTTCAGTTCCACTGAGAATGAATCTCTCATGTCCCCTTTTCACTTCCTTTGGGCTGTGTGAATGCTTTAATACCTAGAGAATAGAGTTAAATAAAGCTATTGTCTCAACTAGTTGGTTTATGCAGTCCTCCTGAAATATTTTAATTACAGCCTCCCTTTTTCTCCATAATTAAGAAAGCAGATGTCAAGTAAGCCCACCACAGGTTGGTCATAGACTCTCCATTAGATGAAAGAAATCCACTTATAATTGGAGTTTTTCTTTTTCTCCTTTGTTTTACAGAACAAGAAGAATGTGTTAACTGCACAGATGAATGCAGAGTGCTTGGTCATTCTGACAGGTGTTGGATGCCACAGTTCCCTGCAGCCAGCCAGGCTGAGAATGCAGATTATCGCACAAATCTCTTTGTACCCACAGTTGAAGCTAATGTTGAGACTGAGACTTATGAAACTGTGAATCCCACCGGGAAAAAGACATTTTGTACATTTGGGAAAGACAAGAGAGAGCACACTATTCTCATTGCCAATGTTAAACCTTACTTAAAAGCCAAACGTGCCCTGAGTCCTCTGCTTCAGGAGGTTCCCTCAGCATCGAGCAGCCCAACCAAGACGTGCATTGAGCCTTGCACCTCAACAAAAGGACCACTGGATGGTTGTGAAGTGAAATCAGGAGCCTTGGCTGAACCGAGCAGCCAGTACTTGCCAACTGACAGTCAGTATCTATCGCCTAGTAAACAGTCAAAAGACGCTCCTCCGTTCATTGCATCAGATCAGATGGCTAGGGCCTTTGCCGATGTACATTCCCGAGTGAGCCGAGACTCGAGTGAGATGGACTCTGTTCTGGAGCAGTTAGACCGTTCAACCCGGGATCTAGGCAGGGAGTCGGTGGATGCCGAGGAAGTTGTGAGAGAAATCGACAAGCTCTTACAGGACTGTCGGGGAAGCGACCCTGTGGCCGTGAGAAAGTGAGGGGGAAATAAGGACAGGCTGGCAGTTACGTTCCTCTTCTGCTGATTAAAAAACAAAATAAAATAAAAATCCCCTGTTTATAACAGATTTACAGGAGTGAAGGAAGACCAATGCTGCTTTAAGGCTTTTAGTGAACATCTGAAGTGCCCACAAGTTCTTTTCACTGCTCTTTCTTTTTGACAGATAACACTGGTTTCATTTTGACCAAACTTTCATTAGGACAGAGTGAAGTACATTAAGAACCGAAAGAAAGAAGGAAAGGTGGTGCCATTTTGACAATCTGATAGGAAGGTGTGAGAAAGGTGGAATGGAAATACGTGTGATACTTTAAGACTGTCCTCAATAGCTGATGCTGACTTTACTGTTTACGTATAAACCCCAAGAAAAACAGGGTTGAATAATTCTGATCTGTGGTGGATTTCCAGCAGTCACCACAGGCTTCTACTGAAAGTCCTAAAAAAGAGTTCTTGTAGTAGTCCAAGTGACACCAAACATTAGCATTCATTTGTGGTAAACATTTATGTACAAAGTTATCTGACACAGAAATGAAAAAAAAAAAGAAGAAGAAGAAGAAAACAAAAAACCCATTCCAGATCATTATTCAGCAAAACATATCCTGATCATTAGTAAAGCACCTCATATCATATTAAGGTTAAATGTAAAATGATAATAGTCCATTTTGTCCTGCACACACATAAGCTAATTCACTTGATAAAAAGAGAAAAAGATTTTAATAGCTATTTAGCATTTTAGTGTCCAACAAAACTTTAGTTAGCAGTAAGTTTTAAACAAACCTGAAGTGAAGTAAAAGTTTGAGAAAAATAGTTACCTTTGAGGGTAATACACAAAATAAATTAACATTATTAACACTTTTTTATTCATTTGTGGACACTAAAATAGCTCAGGAAAGTGAAAATGTCTTAGACATCCACACAAAATACATGATCATTTAAATGTGCAAATGTAAGAAGATTCAGTGTGTTTACATCAAATGACATATTTTTATTGATTTATTGCAGATTCAGTGCATATGAGCCAAATTGTTGAGTGTATAAGAGCTATATTGTGTATTTTATTAAATTAATATATAGTTGTGTTGCAAAAATATTTGGGCTTATATTGTAAATGGCAAGTGTTGCCTCGGTAGCTGTCGAACTCTATGAGTTTTGTTTTTTCCTGCTTCCTTTTCCCCATGGATTGTGGGAAGCAGCGCCTCAGAGCAAAGTCTCTTGTTTAATGTATGGTCTACGAAGTACTGCAGTACATAATCTGTTCAAAATGTGCTTGAGTGAGCTGATGGAGCTAACTGAACAGCCTACAAACACATCCATCAGTCATGGTTATGTGCAAATCCTTGTAGAAGCTTTTATCGCAAACCCATGTTTAATAACAACAATTACACTTGAAGCAACACCTGGAACCTCCTTGATATTTTCCAAACACATGCAGCCAGCCTGTGTAATGTAGGAAATTTGGTTGACTTCTTAATTGATACCATCATTTTTAAAGTTTTACTATTAAGTTCAGAGAGCTGAAAAACCTATCTGTGCCAATGTGGCACGAGCAGTATTTTATCTGATTCTTTAGAATGTGCAACTGCTTACTGAAGTTCTAGGAATAGGCTGTACATTTTGGGAGGTTGTTTTGAGTTTTGTTCTCAGTAGTTCTGAAAACTATTTGCAGAACAACTTGGAAGATACTTCTACGTTTTTATTATTTATTCTAAGGGTGTTTCTATTGCATTTGAAATATTCAAAATTACCGTTAGATGAAAGTTAAGAAATAGCAACAGCACTCATCCAAAATGAAAGAAAAGAACAAAAAGCAGCAGAAGAAAAAAATGTTTAGCCCAGCATTTGCCCCTTGTATACTCCAGATACTCTGTTGGACGTACCGCTACGACACTTTGTTTAAAAACAGTGTCCGGGTTATGTTAAATTTAAGCTGTATTATATAAATATATATAAAAGAGGTAAAGAGGTTATTTGATTCAGGTTGGCAATCTCAAGTCCCATAAAGCCATACCTCTCATCAATTCAAGAAAGTAAGTTGACCAACAGCTGGTTTTGATGTTAGGATTTCTGTTAAAGGGTGATCTTAACTAGTCAGTCCTACAATGAATTGTCGTTGGTTGTTGGAGACACCCATTCTGAAAGTTTGCTCTTAGCTCCCACTGTTAAGGAAGTCTACAATTATGTGTGAACAAAGGATCTTGTACATGTTTATCAAGCTACTCTCCATGTTTTGGACAATTTATGTATCTAAAATGTGGTGTTGTCTGTGTTCTACAATATTTTTTTTTCTTTTTAGGCCAGGAGACCCAAAAATGATTTTGCTTGATAGCTTGGTAGCTGGAAATTCCATAGTGGAGAGGATTTCTTATTGTTTGATCAGTCTCTTATACGTATATTTCTGTGGTGCCCATCACTTCAGTGTCTGTGCACCAAGTCGTTAGCTCTGCCAGTGAGATCCATTATTCAGCAAAATCTAAGCCAGTATTTAAATGCAGTCAAGTGATGGAGATTTGTGTATTTTATAAATGATTTTAACACTGAGTAACCAATTGTACAATTCATTGTATGTGTCTGAAGACATAAAACACAACATTCTGAGAAAGGGCTGTGCCAGTGTAAGAGGAATTTACCTTAAGGCTCTCTGTCACTAGTGATTTACTAGCTTTAGCTGTTTAACACATTATCTGTATTTAGTAGTGATTATTTATTTACCACTCTAAGGTGATTCAGAATTCATGACTCACAGCTTTGTAGATGAGTTTAGGAAATCTTGCTCTTATTTAATTTGGTTGATAGCTGCCCTGTGTTGTTGATCTCCGGCGTACGGCTTCCAACAAGGATTTCCCAGCTTATGAAATCTGTTTCACAATTTTGAATTGATACATAAAGAACCAATAAACCAGCAGATATGATTTTTCCTGATTCAGTCAAAATTAGTATGATTGTATGTGAAGTACCATACACAAAAGAAGTAAAATATAGGTTTTTTTTTTTTTTTTTTTTACTTCTCAGTATCTTTGCTATCGCCACAGGAGGCAGAGACAGCAACGAACAATGAAGTTTATGAGTTATTTCTTTCATTCCTTATGCACATGTTTTACAAAACTGAAATAAAATATCCACAACATGACTATAAAGAGAATGACTGAGGTAAGGGAAAAGCATATTAAGTAACTAATAAAATTGTACTGTAAACTGTGAGTAGAGAGGAAAGCATTCTACTTTTTTTTTTTTATTAATGACAGCAAATAAATGGGAATTCCTTAAATGATTGGCCAATCAAATCAGGAGCGAAATCAGACTTTTTTTTTATTTCTTTCTTGGCATACTCACCAGGAAAGAGACTATCCTGAATTGTGATTTGCCATGTGAGCATACAGATTTCCCAGTCAAATTTACCCCAAGAAGTCAAGCATTTGCTCACAGTGGAACAAGATACATCGTTCAAACAAGCTTTCAAGCTGTTTGTTGCCTAATGGAAGGGAAATTGCTGAGGTCAAGAAGCAGTCTGACGTCTAGCATAATATACACCTACTCATTATTGTTTAATTACATTTTTTGACATCAGGCAGTGATTGTTAGTGCATTAATTCAAATGGGAGTTTTGGCTATCAAGATTTGTTGATTTGAGGTGTAACTGAATGAAACCTGATTAAGGTTTTGACTTCTCTGGCCCAGTTGTGCTACAGGTTGGCAATTCACATTTATCAGCCCCTCTCTCCCCGTATGGCTCAAAGTTGCACCAAGTGACTGGTGAATGACACAAAAAAACAAACAAAAGCAGCATACATTGTATGGATTATCTCAACCGCTATTGTTTAATGGCTGTGTTTAATGTGACCTATCTGGAAAATGAGGACTACGAATAAAAAGCAATTACTAATAGTGGTGTTGCCTGCTTTTGCATTCATTAACACAGACGAAATGTGTTAAACACTGCATACCACAGGGAGCCTGATGGTAATTACTTTGGAAAAGCAACTTGTGGCAATGCGGCTGTTACAGCTAGTTATCGGTTTGCCAAAAAAATGACAGTTCCTGCTTCATTTATTAGAAATGTGTAACCGTTTTCTCTCAACAGGAAGGTGGCGAAGAGTTTTCATCAAGCTGGGTAGGTTTATCTTTTAAGCAGCTGATGTGCTGAATCCCTACAGGCTGTTACTTGCTCACAGAAGTATGGAGCTGAATAAAGGATAGTTTGGTTTAGTACACTGGTGTGAGTTCACCAAAAACATTATAAATGAGGGTGTAAGTTCTCAAAGGCTGTCGGCCCAACAAGAAAGATCAAAACACGGCCTGAATGTACAAGTGGAAAAAAAATATCCTAAAGGATGTAAAGTTTTTAAAAATGCAGCTTTCTCAGGGTCCTGAGTATTAGACATAAATAATTTCGTTCATGTTGCTGTACACAACGTGACAAAATCCTGGGGAAAAATATGGCTCTCTTATGTCTGATTGTTTGAGGATGTTGTTATAATTTACTACTTCTGTCAGCCCTTTTTTCTTTTTCTTTTTTTTAAGAAATGTTCTGTTTAAGCATCATGATGACTTCTTCAGAGTATGTGGCCCTTTCTATTTGCCGCTGTGTGATGTAACAGTAGCATACCAGACAGTGTAAAGCCTCCACACTGGCCTTTTTTTAACTCATAATTTAAAAAAAAAAATAGTCTTTGTTTTTGACAGTTAAATTCAGTTTTTGATTGTTCAGAATACGGCAGGTATTATGAAGATATGTGCCAGTCCTGCAAGTAGAATTACCGTTTACCCACAGCATGTTTTCTGCAAGTCACTTTGCCAGAAAGAAAATCAGCCTGCATCTAATTAGCTGACTATACTAAACACAGAAAACCCCTATTGTTTGCTTCCCTTCTTCCTGCTATATATATTTGTCTTTCTACAGGCTGAATTCCAAAATTTAGCAAGCCACCGTCTGTGCAGAGTCCTGCCAGAATGTGCCTTATGCTGCTGAAGGCCTCATTGGATATGGGATGTTGCTGTCTTGCTGTCTTCAACTGTGTGTAATTCAGAGCTTGGCTGGCTCCACAGTATATGTAGAACAAGTTATAAACCATCCTGGCTTTTCTTTACCCAGAATACAGAGCCATTGATTTCCCATTTGGAAAGTGGCCAGTCTGTCGAACAGAGATTCTTAGATCGCCTTTAAGCCAACCACATATAACTGCTTCAGGGTGTTCAGTCATGGGACAAAGATCCTATCCTCATCCTTTATTGAGTTTAAGACATGAAAGCAGATGAAATCTTACTTCTTCAGTTAGTTATGTTTCCCTGGAAATGAAATTTCTCCAGTAGAAACAAAGGATGGCTCTCTGCTGCATACATAGCTTGAATTGTGAAAGGTCACCTCGGTATCGGTAGTGCATGTAGAAATGGATCAGGGAGTTAATGATCCATCTTAGATTTTTCTTAGTTGTATATTTCACGGTGCATATGTTATGACTCAGAAAAGAGAGCGCAGTATCTCAGTTTATTTATTGCTGATGATCTCCAGTAATGACTGGCTCACACTTCAAGCTTTGGGGAAGCATTTTTCTGTGGTTGGGATACTGATTCCTTTTTAATTTATCTCTTTCTTTTTTTTTTTTTAAATAAATATATGCTAGTCAACTTAGTAGCTTTATTTTTAAAAATGAAAATAACGTTCTGACATGCGCATATTTACTGTAGATTGTTTAGGCTGGAGGTATTACTTTTTATTTGGACAAGACTCTAAAATGTCCATAAACATTCTGTGATTTATCCTTTCAAGGACCAAGACTGTAGACAGGCCTTGAAACATAGATTGTTGGACAATACATTCAGATTGTGACCTCCTCAAATAGAATAATTAAGATTCCATCTCTGAAAATGTTTTCCTTTTAGTGCCTTGAAAGTTATATCTATAGAAATCTTATTAAAGTGCAGCTACTGACCTGCTATCAGAGAACTCGGGGGTTAGTCAGTCAGTTACCCTCAGTCCTTGACATTCAACCTTTTCCAAGTTAAAAATCAGCATTTAAGTTGTATCTGGAAATCAGTTGATTGCTAGTGCAGTTCAGAAAACATATTTGTAATATGTTTGCAAGAAGAAATACTCTTCAACAAATTTGCAATTACATTTTGTAAAGCTGCAATTTTTCTAGTATTTTAGGGGCAATCACATGCAGAACTCTTGTCAGTGGTTTAATTTGAAAGTGATAAAAATGGATTACTAGGCTAGGATCAACATTAAAATGGAAACACCATATCTATCTGACCATCAGAAAATGACATTTATCTATTTCTGTTATAAGTGTCTACAGATTTCCATGCATCTATTTATTTAATCCTTTTACAGCATAGTTCACAGAAGACGTCTTCTGTGATGCTACGTGCTATAATGATTTATGCAAGTACCCCTTTCTGGACAGTCACCACTTCCTCCTTTTCTTACAAATTTACCACTAATTGTGTAAAGTCAAGTCCATTTAAAATATTTTACATTGCAAATTTACCTACACTGTAGCCATGCCAGAGGAGAGAGTCCTCATATCTTCAAAGGTTTTTTCACATTTTATACTATATAATTAATATATATTAATCATAACATTTTTAGGTAATATCTCCATTTCTTTCTTAAAATTCTACTAATTTTAAAATTTGTTCATATTAAAGTTGATAAAATATAACAAAAATTAGGATTTTTATTTTACATTTAAAACATTTTTTACCTTTTGATGAATAAATTTTTTCATTTACTTTTGCAAGTTCACTAGAAAATCCTGTTAACAGCAATATCACACTCAGTAGATGTCAGTTCTAAATCAAGATGTTTCCCTAATAAGTAAACATATAGCTATTTCATCGTTAGTGAAAATTATTTTTTCTTAATGATTTTTTTACTGAAAATATGAGTCATAATAGTTGATACATATATTCTATATAACTGGTATATTCCATATATTCTAAATATAACAATATAACACAGATCATAAATATTTCTTTATCAGTATATGTTTAGGGGCTACCCTAGACCAGGCAACAAGTTGTACTGATTTTGAACACCCTTTGAGTTTCTGTGCTTGAAGTCATATTGGCCATAGGACTGATTTTCTACTGCCTTGTGTCTCATCCTAAATGGAAAACAAAATGAATATAAGCCACTATCCTATATAATTTAATATGGATTTGTACAACATGAAGTGAATACAGTAAATACAATAGAAAATAATACATGTGAAATTATTTTAATAAAGTTATGGTACCATTTTGTTTAAAGAGATTTAGAAGGGAGATTAGCAACTATTAATAAACCTTCCTCTTTGACCACAAGATAAACTTCTTAAAAACATTGAAGTTCAAGGTCTCCAGTAGTAGAAAGCTCCAGAATACAGAATAAAGGGACAGTCCAATTCCTGGTCTCTCTCTCTCTCTCTCTCTCTCTCTCTCTCTCTCTCTCCCTCTCTCTCTCTCTCTTTTTTTTTTTTGGAGAAAACTGCAGAGATTGGTAATATGCTGCCATAATAACTTCCGTAGCTCCATGCACCAGTGTGAGTGACCCAAGTTCCCAGGTATGCTACCTACAGTTCCAATGCTACCTTAGCAGAATCTGTTTAGTTGACTTATTTAGGGATGAAATATCATAGAAAGTGGATTTGTTCCATTGGCTTTATATTTCTGTACATCTCAAATGTAAGACATAGAAATCTTTTAAAAGAAAAAGAACATTTTATTTTTTCAGAGAAAAAGTTCTTTTAAAAACAATCTTCAAGTAAAGAAACCAAAAGAACAAAGAAATATATAGGAAAAATAGTAAATATAGCTTTGTTCATGAATACATTTTCCTCCATAGCTCAGCTGAGTAACACTGCTGATGACTGTGAATATACCACCATTGTCTTCTAAATACAACAGATCTAGTAGACTAAAATAGAAGAGAGGAATGGAAGATCAAGAAAGCCAGCTAAAAACACTAGTATGCTAGTAAGTACATCCAATGCTTTAATTTCCAAAGAAATTTGCTTTTTTAAAAGGTTAATTCTCCAACACTTATAAATACACTTCACAGAATTGCTATGACTTAAAACCACTGCAACTGCAAAAGTCATTGGTGTTGGAGGCAGAAAACAACATAGTGGAGGAAAGAGAACAAGGTGTTTCCAGTAGACCAGCAGTCCTTAACACTTCTTTAGTTCAGGTGAAATACCAGGGTCCCAACTTGTTATTGCAACAGTAGCAGAGGTAGGAAAGATTGCAGGACATCTGAATCAAGTGCGCTTGCTTAAAAACTTTCCTGGAGATTTCCAAGTTTAACGTAGGATCAAGAATGTAAAACTGAGACTACTCTGCCTATAACTAGTAATTCCTCTAGTCTAAGGTGCTGTTCACCTACTACTTGGATGCAACCCAAGCTTCCACAGGCAGTGACAACATTCAACAGTGAGGAGCCACCAGGTGCTGCTGCCAAATCTTGAATCCCATAGCTTATTGTAAGAGGATGATAGCTTTCCTCATTCACTTTGTTCCCTTCATCCTGAATATTTGTAAGGCAAATGCAAGAAAATACTAGCCAACATTTCTACACCTTCAAGAGTGGTCTGGAGAAAGACCAGTCCTTGTTCAGTCCATGTGTTGGTTAGCACAGAATGTGCTTTTACAGCCAGGTAAAGTTCAGCCAGAAGTGTATTCAAAGAATCACCTGTTACTCAGTTTGGGGATTTTTTAAATTATTATTTTTGTTTCATTTGATAAATAATCCAGACAAGCTTCTCATTGGTGGAGCTAAAAGCGTGCACATTTGAACTGCAGTATAAATGTTAATCACAATCACCAGTCCAGACTGAGGATTTTATTTGGCATAATGTGCACAAATATGCAACAATTTTGTAAAAATAGAAGTTATTATGAGT